ACAGCAAAGCTTCCTGTCTCTTTTGGACCGCCAACCACCACGCATGCGGGGCATCCCGTTCAATCTACACGGCGAAGGCTTGACGCAATCGTTATAGATTAGCTCGCTGATGTCATACACAACTTCCGAGACGTCTTCTCCACTTCGCCAACGGACCTGGGCTGCTGCCCACAGCTATCGTTCAAAATCGACACTCCGACGGCATCCCACCGGTGTGAACCAAGCCTTACCGCATGAACCCTCTGGTCGCAGAACAAGTGGACATCATTTTAGACAATATCTCGAGGAAGGTTAAATCCAACACTCTACTTCTCCGTGCTGCAACCCCATCGTCGTCATTCCCAAGAAATCTGGAGGACTTCGGATCACCGTCAATTACCAGAAACTCGACCGCATCAGCAGCTTCAGTCAGCTGCCTGCTCCTTGTGTGGATGAGATCATGAACAAACTGCACCAGGGCTCCATCTTCTCGCTCTTCGACTTCATGGGCTCATTCCACCAAATCCCCGTGCACCCCGACACAATTCCAAAAGACTCCACCACATCCCGACACTTAGAGTGGTTCCCCAGTGACGCCAGCGGATTTCCAGGATTTCTCGCCGGCAAGGGCTCCGAATGAGCATTGACGACCTCGATGCTTCTTCCGGAGTTTTCGCAGCTCACGCCTTTCCGTCAGCCTCCAACAACAAATCACATCTACACTCTCACCACTCTCCTGCGTTGCAAGACAAAAACACAGTTCATCAATTGGCTTCGCGTCGACATGTGGACGAACGAAGCAAGGACCCTACCATAGGACGCCCTCCGTCCTCAATTCTTCAACACCATCCCGCCACACTACAGTCTGCCGCTCATTCTCCGGCTCAACCTGCCAGTTCGACAATGCCCCCTGCAACTGCAGCTCGCTCCAGGTCAGACATCCTGGAAGCACCTGCAGTTCAGCGGCCTCTCTTTCCTTCTCGGTTGCGCCCGCGTTCTTTGGATCCATCAGATTTGATATCTACCCGCACGCGACGCCGCGCAGCTGCGACATCTGGGAATCCTCTGCCCCAAGAAAAATACCGTTTCAGCCCAGACATTTCCGCCACTGCTTCACCAGCACCTTCTGCACCTCCACGCAGGCCGCGTACGACAACTCCGACGCCACCTGCACAGACGACCGCTGAACTTGTACCCACGGCACCAATCACCTACAACATTGCTCCCGCCGAACAACCCGCAGACCCTTTGCAGGAACCTGCCGACACACCATACACAGGGACCTCCTCAACTTCAGCTTCTTTGCCACTTCCAGCGCCACTGCCTTCTCCGGCAGAGATATCCTTCATGGACTGTAGCGCGTTTCACTCACGCCGACTGGCATGTGGAACAACAAAAGGACGCCACATGCAACGCCGCCATTCGCTACATGTAACTTGGGCAACCTTCAGCCTTGCCCACAGAATTCTTCGGCGACACTCGACGAAACTTGCGTCCTTCCCTTGCCGACATCGAGGAATTGGCCACCAAAGGTCGCCTCATCACCGATGACGACGGCAGTCCGCTCTTGGTTCGACACTGTACCAAACCGCCAACCTCCGACAACGATTGTCCTCGCGGTAGAGCTGCTCGCCTTCTCGACAATAAACCCACGCGCATCTACGTGCCGGAGCATGCGCCCTTGGTTAATGCTTCAATGCCACTCCCAACACTCTGCCACCTTGGTACCCCCAAAACCACCGCCTTCTGGAACAACGCTACTGGTGGGTTGGCATGAGCGCCTGCGCTCGCTTCTGGACTCGACAATGCTATACACATGCTAAGACCGCAAATCCGCACGACAAACTATACAATGGCCCATCCCCTGCCATCAGGGCCGGGTGTGTGGCCGTCAGCTTGGACCACTTTAGACCACTTCCTACTAAATCACGCGGCAACGCCTACATCTTACTCTTCACCGATCGCTTTTACACGCGCGCCGACATGTACGCAGTCTCACCTGCGGACTACACGGCCGAAAGGGACTGCCAATATGTTCCTCAACCGATACATTCCACTCTAGAGATGTCCGGTGAGCCTTCTTTCCGACATGGCCTTCACTGTACGTCGCAACTTTCTGATACCATCTTCAAACTTCTTCGCGAACGGAAAATCACCACCAGCCCCTATCACCCTTAACGCAATGGCGGCGTGGAACGCGTCAACCACACAATGGCTCAAACGCTAGTTGTTTCCGTCAATGAAAGGCAAGATGACCGGGATCTACACCTCCCGCGTGTGGAATTTGCCTGCGACACCATTAGCGCCGCCACGGGGCTAGCACCCAAGTGCACATCGGCCGCCGTGCTCGCTACCCCATGACCGTTTTCGACAATATCTACGCCCGCGGACACCAAGGCCTGGCTAAGGACCAACTTGAATACCACGACCTCGCGTGGACAGGCAACGTCGCTAATACGACCTAGTCCGAGTGCAACACGCGCTCAACGTCGACAAAATCGAGCGCCAGAACTCATCGCTATCGGATGCACTTCACCGCCAACCCGTCTACAAGAAAGGAAATGGGGTCTGGGTCTACGACTCGGCATCGACAATTCGCGAAGGAGCTTCCACCACTGCCTCTGCCTCCGCCTCGGACTCGCAGGTTCTCAAAGCCAAGCTCTCCTTGAACTGGACTGGGCCCTTCAAAGTTCTTGCGGTAGGCTCAGCGACAAGGCACCGGATGGGCGACCGCTCGCCGACAAATTCCTCTACTTTGATCTGCTCAACGACATGCCCGGCGCCAACACCAAACCGCGCGTCTCCGTAGAACGGTGCAAGCCGTGTCCCCACGCCCATGGCACTGACATACCCCCGCTTCCTGCCTGCTGGCCTCACAAGACGCATTCTCAACAATTACACCAACAAATCCCCTCCGTACGGGGCTACGTCTCGACGCCTCTTCAACGTCTTGAAATAGGGGAAAATCCCTGGCCATCAAACTTTTCGTGGACGCGGCGGCGTACTCGCCGCTCTCTACCAAAAACACTGGAAAGGCCTGCTTTGACCCTCCTGGGAACGCGAAATCGACCTACAACACTCGCGTCCACACATCCTTCGCTACTGGTGTGGCACACCGGATCAACACAGCGAAAAGAATCGTGTTTACCCCAACATGCGCGTAGGAGCGACTGCTAGCGAACTTCCCGCGCCAAAGGACAACATGCATCTTCACCCGGCTACGCCTACGTTACGCGCGACACCAACATCCGCCGCTTCAGCGCCACCGCCATACACGTAGGAGCCTACTTCTGGTACAAAGCGAAAGACGCGCTATGGTGGTTGGGTAAACTATCACGGCATACCCCGACTGCTGACCTCTACATCGTCCCCTTCCTCGACGACCCCGGGCCAATCAAGATCTCCCTCATGCCCAGCCACTACAGCTCCGAACATCACACCGTCTGCGGTTCCCAGTGTCTAAAAGTACATCGCAACAGCTCCTTCGTGCGTATCATCAGAAGGACGACGAAGAATCCAGAGGAACCCCACCTTTGGCCACAACTGCGCCCACTTCAGCAACAACAGCGCTTTCTTCTTCAGCCGCTGCCGGGTGAAAATACCTTGTTTGGATACCGGATACCGCCTGCTTTGTTGTATTTTTGCGTGCATTCCCTCGCGGTGTCAGCAGCTCTTTCCCCCACGGTGCCATATGTCCCTGGTTGGCTATGACCCTGTCATTGGTTTGTACCTTGTATTTGTGTGTTACTTTCTGTGCATCTGACGTAAGTTGCTTTGCTTTTTTTTTGACACCGTTGCCACCCAAGCACCTTGCTTTTACAGCCGTCCGCTGGCGTGATTAATTTTGGCCTCCGCTCTTGTGCCTTGCCCTCGACCATGCTGCCTACTTCCCCCCCGTAGCCCATATCGTGTTTTTCTTACGCTACCCCTTTGAGCTCCTGCAAGCACGAATTATTATTGCTCACCCGCAGTTTGCGTCACCTGCTATTGACCTCCGTAGCTCACGTCATCTAGTGTCGACGCCCCCGTTTTGAGCTTTCGAGAGTGCTATTGACCTTTGGTATTGTCCACTCCCCTACTTTCGAATTTTATATTTCAGCGTCCACTTCAACAATCGACGCCCGATTGTCGCCCCCTTTTTGTTGGGCCGCGCGCGGAGCACCGTACTTACTGGCTCTTGCTTTCTAGCCCGCTCCCGCGGCGCCGCTGTCTCTGAGCATTCTTGTTTTTTCTGCTCTTCGTATCTCTGTTGAGCATCTTCTTGTGCTTCTCTTGTGTATTCGGGGCTATCCTGGCGTCACACCGTCGTTCTTCGTGACCCTCTTGCAATCGATAGACCCCCCGAATTTTTCTCTCGTTTGTTCTCGCTGTATGTAGCTCTGCCCCTGATTTTATCATCCGACGCTTTCCGCACTTCTTTGCTCCGCTTTCGTAGTCGGTGTCAGCCTACGCTGCTTGCCCTACGCTGCTTGCCCTAGTTTCCACTTGTTTCAATTCTGCCCTTTTGCTAGCCGAGAGCGTAGCTCTCTTGAATTCCATGTAGAGGTGTGGGAGAGGTTTGTAAGGCTCCGTATCGTCAAGTCTAGAGTTGATACTTCAGATGGTTTGCTACTTCCCCCTCTTCAAGTTCTAGCCTCTACGTATGTGTCCCCTCAGCGGGCCAGTGTCATCGTACTTGGACCCTTGGACTAAGATTCAATCTGGGCGGGTATATCTTTCAGGAATATCCCGACTACCTGCCCAGGTCCCTGGTATTCCGACAAGGCAGGTAGTACAACCGGTACTAGCAGCATCAAGCGATGGGCGAGAATTCCCCCGTGCTCAGTGTTGCCTACGAGTGAGCGATAGCGAACGACTGAGAGAGCAAGGAAGGACAAGGAAGGAAACAGACTGAAGAAGCGAAGCGGCTCCAACCTGCACGCAGTGGTCGGACTAGCTCCACACTGAACCCGCGTCAGATATCGTCGCACCTGGCGACACAACGCAGACACAAAACCTAACACCCCAACCCGTGAACTTACTTCTCCTCCCCCGGTCTCCCGATTCCGAAGACGACTTTCCTTCATCCCCCTCCCCGTCGGCGAGGGGTGCGATAACCTGGTGCGCTGGCATCTGGAAGACCCCCGCGGCCACCTGGACGAAGGCCATTTCTGCCGCACGCTGCTCGGGTGGAAGATTGCGGGTTTTCCGGAAACAGGGTATGGTTTCCAAGACACGATCAAAAGCAAGAGACCGTGTATCCGAGGGACGGAGTCAAGAAGAGATTACACCCAGAGCCTTGAAGTAAAGAGAAGCGTGCGTGAGCGCTCGACGGAGACGAAGCGGGCCAGTTGGTGCTTGTCACGCTGTCTTTCTCACCGATATTGTATCTCTTTTCCGTTCGGATCAACGGCAAAGTGGCAGGACTTACTTTTTCTGTTGACCAACCATCGGCCCTACCCAATTCACTACGGTTACCTTGTCTTTCAACGCCTCATCACCGTCGTCGTTCAAGCAGCGAACCAATCCAGCCACAGCCCGCCGGACCGACCGCCTTCCGACCAGCCGCCTCAAATGCCAGGAAAAACTACCAAACCACAACAAAAAAATGCTTCCAACCAATGCTCACTCACCAGAAAGGCATCATCATCGGCATCATCCAGCTTGGTAGCAGCGCGCAAGAACCTCCGGTGCTGGTGCTGCATCACCGAGTACATCGCCCGTTCCACGAGCCCCCTCACGCCCCGATTATCCGGGGCTTCTCGCCACGGAAACGCGGACGGCAGGCCTGGCACCTCGGCGGCACTGGCATCGCCCCCCGGCGTAGCAAATCCCGAGGAGCTCCAGCCCCTCGTCGCGACGCCGTTGCTCTTAGCAGCAGCCTCTGGAGGCGTCCCCCCAGTGAATGAAGAGGGGAAGGACGGTGGAGGGCGGCAGCGCCGCCTACAAGAGAGGAGGTACCCCGCCCCCGCGCTCCGCGCGAGAGGTGGTCGCATCATGACCCGACAGCGACACACCTATCGCGCGCACACCCCGTCCGTTGCTGCTGCAGGTTGTGTCTGCTTTGAGGGCGCGGGGAGGGTTCCACATCGATTCTTGGCTTGCAGCTCATCATGCGGGGTTCAACAGGATTGAGCAGGCCGGGTGGACGTTTGAATCTGTGTTGTGTCTTACATTTTCGAAACGGCGTACATGGGGTTTGTGATAATACTTGTAGACGACAATCGACAGCGACGCAGGCACGTGTTTGCAGCAGTCTAATTACTGGTTTTTCTCTTTCGCGTGTACGACAAACGCCATTACCAACTGGTACAAATTCCTACCCGCAACTTCTCAGCAAATAATTTTGATTGACCGGCTTCAGAGCAAAGGCCTAGCGGCTGTATCGATAACACCGATGGCAGGCACATCTTTCTGAAGAATCTTTTCTCCCTCACCTACAATTGTACAGCAGTACACGGTATTCGTAAGTGCTGTTGCATGTAAATTACGTAGCCGCCACAACAGCAGCAGTGGTTTGAAAATTGAAGCAGGCACATACCGAAATGCCGGAGGTCTTGGACACACTATTGTTTTACATGGAGGACACAAACTCCCCGAGACAATGCATTCTTCACAAGTGTAGGTTAGGGTACAACGGCGCCAAACATGATTGTCGTTGGCAAAGGGGGTGGGTGCCAAAGCTTTTGGCTGAACCACACTTACTTCGAGTCAGTCAAGTCAATGACTGCCCGTTTAAGCTTTCCAGATACTCTTTCAGAGGGTGCGTGTCTCTCGTGCGTGTGTGTAAGTCCCCCTAATGATAGTTTCGTGAAAGATCGCTCGCTTCATGTTATCACCCCTACGTATGCAGCACCCTTAGCAATAGCAGACAGAGGGGCCCAGACAGAGGGTACCGCGGGTGCTCGTTGCAGTGGAGTCAGCGCACGATTTTCGACATGCAGTCGAAGAAGCAAATACACCAGATTCATTCGTGCTAAATGCACGGCATATAAATTCTCCACTTACCACCCTTGTGCGCTCTCGTGCTAAGCACGGAAGGTCCGGCTACTCTCTCAGAGCGCGCAGCACAGCAGGGGAACGCACCGCACAGCAGTTGCCGGTTGGTTTTGTTTTGGAGATTTTCTGAGGGGTTCCGTGTAGATATTAATGACTGTTGTTGTTTCTGGGGTTTCTGTATGGCTCGCTTACTCTAGCCGACGAGCCCCCTGCGCCTGCAGTCTTTCCGCGTTCCGCGTGTGCGGTGTGCGGTGTGCGGCTCTGCCTCTGTCTGTCTGTGGTGTTCGTCTCTCTTGCCCCTTCCCTCTTCTGCCTCTCTACTCTGCTGATCCGTGAAAGTGAGGTGGTTACCATGTCTGAACAGCCCTCATTCCTGGCGAGCCTCTTGGTGAGTGGCAACACACGTTCTGCCAACGGGAGACTATGTGACCATCTGCAGGCTGCGTAGCCGTTGGAAAGATTATTATTCCGTCGTTCGCGTGACAAAGTCACACCGGCTGGCCGAGCACGGCGCAGCGGCAGCCTCTAGGCACCAAAAGTGTGAGAAGTGTTTGTTAACACCCATGGCCTAGGGCCATCTGGTCGGACGTGCGCTCCTCTACACGTGGGAGCGAAAAGATTCAACAGTTTGTAGATTGGTCAAAGCACGTGCACATGTACTGCTGTAGTCTCTTCCCGGAGGCACGACGCCTACTGTGTGATATGTTTTATCCCGCGATGCTTGCATGCGAAGGGAGGGGAAGGGCGCACAATCCACTTGCTACTCTATCATGCACCCGATGTGCGCACGGGCATCGCATCAAAAAGGTCGGACCCGGCCGGCTTATGCGTGCCACGTATACACGGCTCATGACTTGATTTTTCAAGTGCATTTTTCGTTCCTAGAACTCTGCCTTCTCGCCGACGTTCGATTCTCCCATCCCCCACCCTAAATATGCATACAACTTTACTGTAAATTTTCGAAGTACAGCTGCAAAAATGGCACAGTTGAGTTTGGCGGCTGGTTCGCGCGGCCGCCCAGCAAACCTCCGCTTGAGAGTTGGGTCAACAGGGGGCATAGCGACCACAACCACGGGCAACATGAGTGATCTTGTCCCGCAAGGTCACACCCGTGACCTGTACACGAGACATGTATCCGTGCCTCACCCTTGAAGGACACACCCCGCCTCTCTCATGATGGTTGTTGACTACGATTGATTCGCGCCCGCCGAGCGCAAGGATTCGTTCCTGCGCGGTGAATTCCTTGCCTACTCGTCCCCTCTCTTTTTCTCGAGACCGAGGAAGGAGATCATCGCGCTAAGGGGCCACCGTCCGGGCCGCGTGCTGTATCACATGTCATGTGCCGCGGCGGGTGACGGATTTGATCATCACGGATACTGCCGCAAATCCTCGTCTGAGCGCTTTCAGAATACATGCATGCGATGCGCTGCTGTAGTCCGTTATCTCAACGGTCGTGTGCTGTGCGTGGTGTACTCCATTTCCGCCTTGGAATGAGGAGAGGCTGAGGGTTATAATGGGGTCGACCTTCGACCGTGGGACGGGAGTAGCACATGTTCGAAGGAGTTAGACCCTGTTTTGTTTTGTTTTTGTTTTTCATCATTCACAGCATTTCTGCCGGGTACGAGGCTCCGACCCTCATGTAGGGATTCCAATCCGTGGTCACACAGAAGGGTTCGTCCCCCTGAGTCCCCCCTACCCTTCCTTCGCTGCTTACCCTGGCCCATTTTCTATCGGCGGTGGCGTCATCTTAACAAACATCGGAGAACATGGTAGGCCACACGTATTGACACCAACTGCGAACAGGCCGCAATTCACGGAGATCGCGGAGCCTGTCGATAAGCTGCGATCAGCGTTGATTTGCTGGCGCGACTCCTGAACTTCAAACAGCAACAAATGCCAGAAAATCTAGTAGTTACCTCCTGACCTGGTCGTCGTATTCCGACCAGCATCAACCTGTTCAACACAGCCGCAGCCCCCCCCCCCCCCCCCC